GACATCCGGTGAGTGACGCAGCAAGATAAGATTGCTATTCAGAGATCCGGGGAGTGACGTAGCCTGAGAACCATTTCAATTATATAAGCATGACTCAAATCTTTCATGTGGGGCTGCCAACCCATTGAAAACCCTTCCAACAGCCCTGGGCTCACGTGAGTTTGAAGTGATCTTTATGGTGAGCTTTTTATAAACATCATGGTGTTATGTCAATCGTAAAACGCTCACCGAATACTGCCAAGTCTCGCACCATTACAAAGAAAACTTTAAAAATTGTAATGAATATAACTTGTGACTGTTATTACTAATTTATTCGGTAAATATCGAGAAAATGTATCCGTGATGAGCCTGCGATCTTTATCACAGTTCCTGCTGAGTGTTTCTAGTGTGGATAAACACACAAAAAAAGTGCGCTCTTTTGAAGCGATAGCGCCAAAACTACGGGAATTGTAAATGATAAAAATCATTTAAGAAACAATTTAAAACTTTTTCGGAGGATCAGAGCGCAGTGAGCATGGTACAAGGGCATAGATACCGGCGCGATATAAATATCAAATCAATCAATCAAAAATGAAAAAAATCAAAGTATGGGCCTATAGTGAGTAATAGCCTGAACATAAATTTGAAACATTTACTATATGACAGATAATAGATGGCAAGCTACGGTGTACAGTAAATATCTGCCCCAAAGACAAAGTTTTGGACAAATATTCCAGCGGAATAAGCAGAGTGATCGGGCTGTAAGCGGCTCGTGAAGAAATGTTATAGTTTTCTCCAAGTCGGCTACATATAACAATAAGTTTGCTATTGGTTGCACTAAATGATTATTGTCAATTTTAAGATCACCAAGGTCCTATTAGGGTACCCTCTACAAGATTCAAATATATGAACTATCTGTCCTTACCTTAGGTATTTGATTTTTACAAATTTTCCCTTCAAGAACACAATTTAATTAAAGCGCTTCCGCTATTGCTTACAATATAACTTATTAACAAAGATGCAGGAAATAGATGGCGCCACTATTCTGTCTTTTTTGTGACAACATCATATACAAATGTAGCATATTACTTTCACTAGTTGCGCATAGAGTACTATTATTTTCAGCATCAACCTTACTAAATGGGTGCAGACAGCCCAGGACAGAGCCAGTTGGAGAGCAGCTGTCAAGAAAGGGGCTAAATCTCGTGAACCCAGTAGGATAACCACAGCTGTGACACGCAGGCTCGCCCGAAAGAACAATAGTAGATCGACTGCAGCAACTATCCCCTGCCCGAGGTGCCAGATATTTTTCCGAGCAAAGATCGGTCTAGCAAGCCACCTACGAGCTCACCATACCCCCCCCCCTTTGTAACCGGATGACACGCTGGTCCTGGTCGATTTTGACGGACGAACAACAAACAACAATTATTTTATAGAGGCTTATGATTTTCCCGTCCACAATGGGTGGGGGACAACTTAAGAGTTATGGGGCTAGAACATGTATCGTCTATAACGTTATACAATATATATATATATGGCATCCTCCTTCCAGTCTTCGCGAGACGATGGAGTAGCTATGGACGTTTCACCAAATAGCTTACGAGGTCAATTATGTTATGGCAGTTTCGGCTGCATTTCTCACAAGATGACATTGACTCCCGGGGAAATTAGGCCGCCCTTAATGCTCTTTTTGTTGCAAGAGCTTCGTTACGTGAAACTTCCGCCTTTCTGACTCATTCATACACTTCTGTTCGCCAGCTGGAACGGTGCACGGCGATGATCTCCAATTCGTAAATTTCTATGCTGTTTTCCCCCATTTTCATTTTGTAAACATCCTCGAATCGCAGCCATGGTCTTCCAATAAGTATTGCCTATTCTGCCAACTCTCCTTACAGCAGGGACTTTGGAACTAAGTCTTCCTCCATTTTCCTTACATGGCCTAACCAGCGAAGGCGCCTCTTGCTTAAAGCGGAGAATATGCTACATGTTTAGGCACTTTCCAAAATCACTGTGTTAGACAACTTGTCCGGCCCTCGAATGCGCAATTGCAGACATCTTTGATTGAAACTGATGACTGGCATATGTGGTCTACACTTCACTGCCTTATGGGAGCGTACTTAGCATGCATGACTGATAGACGCTTAGTTTTTTTAAACTTTCAGTTATAGTTTAAGGTTATTCCACACACGCTTATTCAATTTAGCCATAGCTGCTGCTACGTTTGCGAGCCTGATGTTCACCGTTAAATACTTTAGGCTTAAGTTATATGTAGTAATATGACTGAGGATGTGGTCAAAGGCCACTCCCCCTTGCCCCGCGCGCCCCCCCCCCATTTTCACCATGAATCGTACATGTTTACAATAGACCATGGATCAGAAATAGATTCAAAAAGACCATGGATCGATCAGAGTAGTCGGATGTAGTGCCAAGTGTCATTGTGCTATTTATGCAGTTGAGTTCCCAGGTGATTTAGCAGCAGGGTTGGCCGCTCCTCCTACTAACCATCTATAAAAACGTTTGATCTTTTCAAGAATTGTTTTAAAAATTTTCATGCTATATATTCAACAACTCAAAAAGTGCTATTTTATTGGCCAGCCAGTTATTGCAATGACAAAAAATATTCATTCACTTGCCAAGAAATGTCTTTTGTAATGACATGTAATGTAGGCTTCTTTTCTTTTTTTTTTTTTACTAATTATTATTTTAACACAAATTTGTTTTTCGTTTGTTTTGTTTTTTAAAACAATAGTCTCTGAATTATATTTAGGTCTTTTCGCTTTACTGACTTATTAAAAGTAAAAGATTCCATTTGTATGCAAATTAAAACTCTGGTATATTTTACACTTTGACATTTAATTGTGTCATTAATTTCTATGGATGGTGCTGAGAATATAAAATCTATAAATTTTTTAAATTGGGGGGGGGGGGGTGTTTGCTTGGCATGATTTTTATGTTACTAAGGAGCAGTTGCTGGAAAATATTAAGAAGCGCTGATATGTACATATATTTATATATGTAATATATAACATACCTGCAAAGACAAAGTGACATCGGATTGTATTCTTAGTGCCACTGGTCCATTTTTCTGGAAATGACCTCTTTTGTCAGGAAATAAATTCCAGCCCTCATTGGTTTTTAACATCAGTCAGCTGACCCAGATAAACTTCGCAAAGATGCATCGTGCATGGCATTGACAGCGTTGACCAATTGCTGTCTTCATATATAAACACGCAAAATTCGTCTGTCTGTGTAGTTTTTGCTGTCAAAGGCTTCTTCTTGGCCGAAAAGTCCACTTTATTTTTTGTGTATAGTCCTGCTTCAGGTATTGCTTTAACCTGTGTATATTTCTTATTACTTAAGATGCAATGCCAATGCACATTTTTGGGGGGTTATATAGTCACACAGAAATTTCTAATTGAACACAAGAGTTTTAGAAAAGTAAAATAGGTATTGTCAGGGAAGCGTACATGTTTTACTTAAACCTCTATAGGTCACAGCAAACGTCTGAAAAAGCAGAGCTTTTCGCCCTAGTTACCCTTTTTCGCCAAGAAATTAGAAAACCATCTGGAAGAAGTACATCGCTAGTCTTTGCTACACAACTGAAAGCATGATGGCTGATCGGCAGAGAAGACGGAATTTGTCATTCGAAGAGTCCGTTGCTGCCCAGATGAATTACCTTTAAATATAATGTTAAATTGATGTTTGTATTCCGTTTCATCACCTTGGTATCGAGGTGCTTTCGTTAGCAGACATATTGAGATTGATTTCAGAATTCATCGTAAAAAATATAAACAAATTGAAATCCTTGGCTGTGAGTGAGATTGGGTAGGCGGCAGTTAGTTGAGTGTGGGCTCGGTAACGAGAAAACTAAAGCATTGAGAAGACCTGGAGATGCAATGTAAATTCAAAGTCAATTCGTGGACATAGCCATGCATTCAATAAAAGGGGCTTGGATGATTTGATGTCTGTCGTATAGACAATAGAGCTCATTTTCATGCCACTGTATAGCTGTTGTTGCACATGTCATATAGATGATAGAATTCATTTTCATGCCACTGTATAGCTGTTGTTGCACATGTCATATAGATGATAGAATTCATTTTCATGCCACTGTATAGCTGTTGCTACACATGTCATATAGATTATAGAGCTCATTTTCATGCCACTGTATAGCTGTTGCTACACATGTCATATAGATTATAGAGCTCATTTTCATGCCACTGTATAGCTGTTGTTACACATGCCATATAGAAAATAGAGCTCATTTTCATGCCACTGTATAGCTGTTGTTACACATGTCATATAGATAATAGAACTCATTTTCATGCCACTGTATAGCTGTTGCTACACATGTCATATAGATTATAGAGCTCATTTTCATGCCACTGTATAGCTGTTGTTACACATGCCATATAGAAAATAGAGCTCATTTTCATGGCACTGTATGGCTGTTGTTACACATGCCATATAGACGATAGAGCTCATTTTCATGCCACTGTATAGCTGTTTTTACACATGCCATATAGACAATAGAGCTCATTTTCATGCCACTGTATAGCTGTTGTCACACATGCATTTATTCATCTTAATTGTATTAGCATTTTGCTCCTTTTTTTACCGTGTTTATATCATAAAATCTTGCAACCAACTTATGAGTCTTGTACTGTCTTTGAACCAGCTTATGTTTTTTGTACTGTCTTTGAACCAGCTTATGTTTTTTGTACTGTCTTTGAACCAGCTTATGTTTTTTGTACTGTCTTTGAACCAGCTTATGTTTTTTGTACTGTCTTTGAACCAGCTTATGTTTTTTGTACTGTCTTTGAACCAGCTTATGTTTTTTGTACTGTCTTTGAACCAGCTTATGTTTTTTGTACTGTCTTTGAACCAGCTTGTGTGTTTTGTATTGCCTTTGAACCAGCGTATGTGTTTTGTGCTGTCTTGCGACTTAAATGTTGAATATGGAGAAAACAAATGACACCATATTTCTGAGAAGTAATAAAGTAAGTCATTTTGCTTTGATACGCCTTTCTTTAATGATCCGATGAAATATAGTGTATTTATTGCAGTTAGATCAACATTCAATAGATGAGACGTTGGAGCATGTTAAAGGGTAATAAGATTTCAACTACGCCTACTCCAGGTTGACCTAAAAGTTACTTATTACAAGTTCAATTTGAAACATTCGATTGGTAAACATTACAAGGGATAGTTACACCTCTGTTGTTCTCAAAAAGATGATACCTATTTTTTTATTTTTTTTGTGTACTTCAATGTGTATCTTTTTTAACTATACTTTATACTGAGGCATTCTCATTTTAATGACCAATAAGTCAATATAGCAATAATTTAACATTCACTGTGTCAGTAGTGCCACGTTGTTCGGGAACATGATGGAAACTTGATGCATTTCTTGGAGGTAATCCGCTCTACTCAACTGGAGACTGTTTCCTCAGATACTTGTGTCATAGTAGTAGGTTATTTTTTCACGAATAGATCTGCTGTTACTTTTTCTTCTTTGATAAGCTACGTTCGTGTTTATTTTAACATTGAATTCCACAATTTATGAAAACAGAATTATTAGATGGCAAAAAAAATGTCAGCCTCCCAGGTTTTACCCCTTTTTACATGTCCCTGAAACCATTGCGCAAGTTTCATTTGTCTTCTTCCTGTATAAATTAAGAAGTATAAACTGAAGCCAGTCTTTAATAGTACTCAATAAGGTTACTGTTTTCAAGTTTTAGAACCTTCTTATTAACCTATTTAAATCTCAGCCGGCTCGCACATTTTCTACTTTTTTTATTATCTTCTCGCATTGACCAAGTTCGTCCACGGGGACAGAGCGATCATCCTGGAGATGCAAACATCAAGCAAAGATGTTTCAAGAGTCCAGGATGTCCAAGATGTAGAAGAAGAGTAGGACGATGTCCAAATACAGCATGATTGACCCGAAGATGTACATGTGTGTGTCCAGTTCATGGGACTTTCCACCTATGATCATCTGAGTATCAATTATAATGTACTGAAAAATAAAAAGAATTTTTCTCATTGGAATCGTTCAAGAGAGAGGATTTATACACCCTCCCTCCCCATTCCCCCCCCCCTCCCAAAAATCTATCCTAAAAATAACTCAAACTATTAAAAAAATACCAATATATAAATTTTAAATTAGTTTCAACATTACATTATTTCAGTTTATTCTTTTTTCAGAGACCTAATATCGAACCAAAATTTCTCAAATTTTAACTTATACAATCACTTGTAAAAAAAAAATAACCAAACCTTATCAATGCAGATAGCATGTTTCCCATTTGCTTGTTAATTACTCTAAAATTTAAAGCCATTATTGATCCTAGTAGAAATAAGAACAGATTTTTTAAAACAATTATTGTTTTCCATAAAATTAAAACAGGCCACAAACTTACGACACACATGAGTAGTGCCGCTACCACAGAGTAGATAAGTTTGATCATAGGAATCTGTTTCAAACGCACAAAATTTATGTCATTAATTGATGTCATTAAACATGAATGCAAATAACCTCCCCGCCTAAACTTGAAACCGTTAAGAATCGTTTCATTCTTAGAGTAAATCGAGTTTGTTTTTGTTATATCTTTATGTTATGGGCCGCTGTATATTGGGCAGCATTGAAACATAGCACGTTTGAGGTCACGTGTTGGTGTGGAGAGTAGGGAACTTTTTTTTTCTTTTTTAAAGGTCTTCCCCAATTTTTATTGCTATTTATTTAAAACTTTAAAAGTATCGCGGGATAAAATATGATGATGATTGAATACTTTTATAGCGCTTCAGTCCATGCTATTTTAGCATGCTCATGGCGCTCTGATGTCCTAAAATTCTATTGAAATAAAAAAAAGTCTTTAAATTTTTCTTAAATGTCTTCTTTCCGTGTCCATCCATATATTTACTGCTTTCTTGTACTGATTTAGTTTCTGTAGGATTTTCCAACAAAACAAATTTCAAATGATGTAAGTGACTGCATAACACAAAGCAAAGATCGATGTAACAAATGGATTGTAAACATTCACTTTACAAACTGCGCATTGCACTTGGAATGACCAAATGTTCACTCTATGAAAACATCAGTGCATTCTAGTCTATGAATACAATGGCGAATAGAGACATAAGTTGAAGCCCCTTTGGTGAAGGCTATTTGCCGATACGGCACGTTGGTATTGTCGTTTCTTTTATTTTTAAAGTTTTCCCCTGCCTTCTGTTCCTTATTTTACAACTTTATCGCACATCTCCCCCCCCCCCCAATTTAAACATAGTATTATTCATTTTACTTTTAACTAAAGCACACACTTAGACCATGTTATGTACGCACAGAATTAGACAGTTTTGTGTACTAGCGCACATAGACTGTGTTGTGTACTCACACACAGACCATGTTGTGCACCCACACACTAAGGCCGTATTGTCTACTCACACACATGTACCGTGTAGGTTACTCACACACATATCACATGGTGTGTACTTACCCACATAGACGATGTTGTGTACATACAAACATAGACCGTGTTGTGTACTTACACACATTGACCGTGTTGTGTGCGCTCCCACATATACCGTGTTGTGTACTTACATAGGGCAGCAAGGCGATGGAGAAAAAGCCGAAGACAACGACAATCATTGTTATCACAAGGATTATGTAGGTAAAAGGGGTGAAGTCCACGCATATGCACGCCATGACCGTCATAACAAAGACGACTACCTGAAATAAACATCAACCACAGATAGATTTTTGGAGCAGGTTTTGTCTTCTAAAGTTGAATGTCGGCCTATTCATTTTCAATGGATTTAATTCGCTTTTTTTTACTTGTGATTTTTTTTTTTTTAAATTTAATTACCCAAACCAACTACTGGCCCCCCCCCTCTTTTTCACATTTACCCAGTCTAACGGAGTGAATAAAAAGGGGGGGGGGTCAAGAAGATGGCATTTAAAGAAACGACTCCTTGAAAGCCAGCTTAGAATATTGCATCACAATCGTGATGTCAGTCAATTATCTGGGCAAAAAAAAGAAAAGCAACCCTAATGCCCTCAAATAAGATGTTAGAGATTATGTAAGATGTTAGAGATTATATAAGGTGTCAGAGATTATATAAGATGTTAGAGGACAAATAAGATGTCAGAGTTCATATAAGAAGTTCGATGTCATATAAAATGTCAGAGATTATATAATATTTTAAAGATGATATAAGATGTTATAGATTGCATAAGATGTTAGAGATTATACAAGATGTAAGATGTCATATAAGATGCTAGAGATTAGATTGAAAATAAAATAAGCTTACTGTTGTTGTGCCAGCTGCCAGTAGCACCATTTCCTGGGCTCTTGTGCTGGGTAAAGGGAAGGAACAAGTACACATAGAGTAACTATACAGGTATTAAACAAAATTTTGATTAACACAACATCATCAATATTACACAATGTAAGCACACTTTGAATCTATCATTCTTTGTGTAAGCCCACCTTTAATGTATCGTTCCTTTTGTAAGCCCACCTTTAATTTATCATTTCTTTTGTAAGCCTACCTATAATGTACCATTCCTTTTTTAAACACACATTCAATCTATCTTTCCTTTTGTAGCCCACCTTTACTCGATCTTTCTCTTTGTAAGCCCACTTTCAATCTATCTTTACTTTTGTAAGCCCATCTTAAATATATCTTTTCCTTTGTAAGCCCACCTTCAATCTATTTTTACTTTTGTAAACCCACCTTCAATCTATCTTTCCTTTTATAAGCCCACCTTCCATTTATCATTCTTTTTGTAAGCCCACCTTCAATCTATCTTTCCTTTTGTAAGACCACCTTAAAACAAGATATTCATTATTTTACGCCACCTCCCATCTATATTTCATTTTATGTCTTCATTTACAAGGTATCTTTCATAAGTTAGCTCACATCCTATCTATCGTTCATAATGTAAGCCCAGTTTCTCCAATATTTCATAACATAAGCCCACCTACCATCATATAATATACATATATATATATATATATATATATATATATATATATATATATATAATTAAACCATTGTACTAACGAGGGCTTGGAGATTTTGAGAATATAACCCAAGGCTGGACGCAGAGCTTGATGCATCAAAGATGACTGAAAAGATGACATGGCTTAGCTGCCGCAATCGTAAATGAAGTACTTAGACGAAGTCAGAAAACAGAACCCGAAAACCATAGTTGCATCCAGGAGAATGAATTAGCGGGTTACATCCTAAGCCTGCTACCGGAAATAATCCTGTACACAACTGCAAGGATTTTATGCGTTTATTACGCCTTGTTTTTGTACGCCTTGTTTTTGTTTTGTTGTTTTTTGTCAATCCACGTGAAGTGGCTACGTTAAGTCGCCTAGGTATTTTAGATGCCTACGTTTACATGCCTAAGTTTGGATAAGCCAGAAGCCTAAGTTTAGATAGCATAGAAGCCATTTAAAAAAATAAAATAATGCTAGATATCTGTTTCAACTTAACATTTGTCACCATTTAAAAATAAAGTATGCCTTCGTTTGGACATGTTTAAAAAATCGAACTGCCGAGGAATGACAAGAGAACCTCAAGGACAATAACTTACGCTGTCAACACTCCAGCAATTCCAGACATGGCCACCGTCTGTGTGGGGGAAAAATAGTTAGGGTTACGTGAAGAAGCAAACAAAAAAAAATCACTTTATATGAAATCGTACTAACAAGAAAGCGTAGTGGGAAGTGGGGTAAGGCAGCTGCCAAACAACTTTTGATACAGATAAGCAGTGTTTGTTGTGCTACAAAAGTAAAAGTTACATTCCGTTTTAAGCAGATAGGTTTTCTTAACATTTTTATTAGATATTTAAAATAAACACTAGAAAAACTAAATCAACAGCTAATACTGGCTCTGTTTTCATATCTTTTTCTCACACCTCTTTTTATAGCTGTTTCACACACCTGTTTTCATAACTGTTTAGCATACCGGTTGTCATAGATGTTTAACACACTAATCATCACAGCTGTTCTCCACACCTGTTGATCACAACTGTTCATCACACCTGTTCGTCACACCTGTTCTTCACACCTGTTCTTCACACCTGTCCTTCACACCTGTTCATCACACCTGTTCTTCACACCTGTTCATCATACCTGTTCTTCACACCTGTTCATCAAACCTGTTCATCACACCTGTTCTTCACACCTGTTCATCACACCTGTTCATCACACCTGTTCATCACACCTGTTCATCACACCTGTTCATCACACCTGTTCTTCACACCTGTTCATCATACCTGTTCATATATTTATATTCATCACACCTGTTCATCACACCTGTTCATCACACCTGTTCATCACACATGTTCATCACACCTCGTTTATCATAAGCTACTTACGAGTAAGAATAAAACGAAGACACTGAAGCAGTTCGTGGTGAGCAAGAACGGCATCAGCATGCACACCAATATCAAGGCAGAGATGTACAAAAACCTGCAATTAAACACCAATATCATGACAGGGCTTTACAGAACCCTGCACGTAGGCCTACACACCAATATCATGACAGAGCTTTACAGAACCCTGCACGTAGGCCTACACACCAATATCATGACAGGGCTTTACAGAACCCTGCACGTAGGCCTACACACCAATATCATGACAGAGCTTTACAGAACCCTGCACATACACACCATAATCATTACAGAGCTTTACAGAACCCTACACGTACACACCAATATCATGACAGATCTTTACAGAACCCTGCACGTACACACCAATATCATGATTGATGTACAGAAACCTTCATGTAACATCGACACAACTGGGCGGATGGGGCATCCCAGTAGCGGATGGGGCATCCCAGTGGCGGATGGGGCATCCCAGTGGCGGATGGGGCATCCCAGTGGCGGATGGGGCATCCCAGTGGCGGAGGTAGAGTTTCAATAATATATTTATGTAGTAATGATAGAATGTATCCGTTTCGCTCGGAATCTTACCCCACCACAATCAATCCTACTGCTAAGGCTAATTGCTAAACAATATGCCTGCAAGCCAGTGCTAAGTTTAGGAGAGAGATTCTTTAGCACATTTAGTCCCCATACATGCTAAAAGCGATGTGTCCCTAGTCAATGCACCATTGGCGGAAGAAAGTTTGAAGACGTGGTTCAAATGCGGGACCAAATTTTCATGATGATGCGTAATGTTTTTGTTGTAGAAATAAATATATGAGCTCAAAATCAGACGATATTCATATACTTACATGAAAATTAGAATAATATATTGATGAGAGGCGACCCAGGCTTTGACAGGATGGCTAGAAGAAAGATAAAGGTAATCTCACAATGCAAGTATTGGCTTATTTTAAAAGAAATAGCAATTTGAGTCTTTCTCCTTCTTTCTCTCTCTCTCTCTCTCTCTCTCTCTTTCTCTCTCTCTCTCTCTCTTATGCACACACACACACACACTGATTCTTTCTTTGACCCCGTCTTCCTTCTTGTCACTCCACTTTTTTAAAGATAACATGAAATCAAGACGAAAGCTCCAATATACATTAGTTGAGAGGCCCAAATGTTCTGAGAATGAGAACCGAATTGAAATGTCAAGATATAAAAAGTGTGAAAAAGGGGAGGGAGGGGTGTTCATAAGTTAAATAGTGATGACCACAATCCCAGAGTTTACTTTCTACATCATATTAATTTTGCTGGAATAGATTTAGCAGAAGTGAACTTGTAAAAAAAAATAGGATGGACCAAATTTTTTTTTAAAGTCTTGATTGAGGCCCACAATTTGGTTAAGGTCTGAGTTTATGAACGTATTAATTAAGGCTGTGTGTATATATATATATATAGTATATATATATATATATATATATATATATACACACACATAACTGCAGCTAAAGGGGGACATTTCTTAAGTGCACAAATCGAAGTGAAACGGAAGTCGTAAAATATTTCCAAATCACATTTTGAGAGGAACTTCCACTGAAAATAAAGTCTGCTGCGGGAAGTCTTTGACAAAATGAATTAATGAATTACTCCGCTTTCCTGGCACCCCGTTTCACGCGTCACACAAAGATTGATTGCTATTTGGAGCGTATGTCGTGTGGACCACATAAAACAGGGAAGTCCCCACTGTAAATTAAAGTGGACTGAATAGCATAGGAGTCTCTTCCAGGTGTCAGGTTAGTTCAAGAGTGGCAGTGTGTCTCTACCGAGTGTCAGCTAGTCCCAGAGTGGCAGTGTGTCTCTACCAATTGTCAAGTTAGTCCCAAAGTGGCAGTGTGTATCTACCAAATATGTAGATAGCAAAGTGTTGGCAGTGTGTCTTAAAGTGGACTGAATAGCATAGGAGTCTCTTCCAGGTGTCAGGTTAGTTCAAGAGTGGCAGTGTGTCTCTACCAAGTGTCACCTTAGTCTTAAAGTGGCAGTGTGTATCTACCAAATATCTAGATCGTAAAGTGTTGGCAGTGTGTCTTTAACAAATGTCTGGTTAGTCCAGTGTTGTCAATGTATCTTTAACAAGTGTCCGGTTAGTTTATGTCTTTAGCAAGTGTTTGGTTAGTCCATAAAAACTAAATAAGCTCTGTTCGGAAAAAAGTAGATGATAGATTCCTGGTGACGTGCAAGATCCAAATAAACAAAAAGTAATAAAGCAAACCTAAACTAATGTGATGTTTATCAATAGTTTTCCCATTCTGTAAAGTGTGTATCACCCAGCATCCGATGGCCCAAAAATATAACACGTCAGGTCGCATGCGGGCCGGTTCGTGGACAGTACCTGGGCGCGTTTACCGTACCTGGGCTTGTTGACCGAAACTGGGCTCGACTCGTTGACCGCATCTATTTTCGTTGACAGTACCTGGGTTCGTTGACCGTACGTGGGCTCGTTGACGGTAAATGGGCTATATGTACTAAGCGGGCTTAATAAGCTAAATGAGCTAAATAGGCTTAATGGGCTCAATTGGCTTAAGCCTAGGGCCTCCAAAATCAAAGGAGCCTCAAAGAATATGAAGCATTATTTTATAGATTCCATTGCCCTACAAAAAAAATTAATTATAATTTAAAAAAATATACCACCTTCAGAGGCTTGGAGATAGCCTAGGCCCTCTTGTAAGCTAAGTCTTGCCTAGGCCCTCTTGTAAGCTAAGACTGGCCTAGGCCCTCTTGTAAGCTACGTCTGGCCTATGGCCTAGGCCCTCTTGCAAGCTAAGTCCGGCCTAGGCCCTCTTGTAAGCTTAGTCCGGTCTAGGCCCTCTTGTAAGCTTAGTCCGGCCCTAATTATATTGATTATATTATACGGTTGTGACCATTTGAAACAGAAACGAACCGTCCAGTAGTTAGACATGGAGCTGTTATTACGAAAGATTAAAACGAAGAGGCTGTTGGCTGTTGGTTTCTAAAAGTGTTGAGAACACTCACATCAAGGTGCAGGCAGCGACGACCAAAGACGTAAACAACAGCTGTAAGAACAGCACAGAGTAGGTCTTCCTCACAAATTCTGAGGATCGGAAATTGGATTTTAATGTTTTTTGTTTTTTTTTTTGCATTTATTTTTTTTTTTTAAAACAGCGATGCTCTTATCGTCAATAGAAAAAGAAGAAGAAGCGTGCATAGCCAATAATAAATGCATGGCCACCAACTGGCGACTTAACGACATATTTTAAATTTTGGGTAGCCCACCCGGCCCCCCGGGTGTCTATGAATGCGGCCCAACAAAAAAAAATCATAAACTTTCAATCTTTATGAGTTTGCGACTAAAAAAATTCAACATAAACCCTTATGGGTTAAGACAAAAGTATTTTCCCGTCGTGCCCTACTGATTTACCCTGTACAGCACGATATTTAAAAAACAGTTTCTATAACTTCTATTAGTTATATGTTAAGATATGTCATCTATTCAAACACGAGTGGGCTATCTTCGTTGGCTATTGTGAACGCATCTGACACAGCTAATGACGGTGCCCACGCTATGATATAGGTAAAACAGATGGACTTGTAAGACTAATAGTAGACTATGCTATTGCCTCAAAACATTTGATTATAATGAAGTACCCATTAATTCACATTTCCATAAACATGATTTGAATGTGGCCGTTTGGAGTTAACAAGTTTGCTGATAATTATTTGAATAATTGTTTGTGTCACATATGCGTCGTGGGCCATAAAACACCTACATGGTGGGCCATAGATAAAACACCTACATGGTGGGCCATAGATAAAACACCTACATGGCGGGCCATAGATAAAACATCTACATGGCGGGCCATAGATAAAACACTTCAATGGTGGACAACGAATAAAACACATAAATTGTGGGCCATATATAAAACACCTGCATAATTAGCTACATATATTATACTTGCATAATGGGCCACATACACAACATCTGCATGGTGGGCGACATACAAAATACCTACAGTGTGGGTCACATATAAAACACCTACAGTGTGGGTCACATATAAAACACCTACAGTGTGGGTCACATATAAAACACCTACAGTGTGGGTCACATATAAAACACCTACAGTGTGGGTCACATATAAAACACCTACAGTGTGGGTCACATATAAAACACCTACAGTGTGGGTCACATATAAAACACCTACAGTGTGGGTCACATATAAAACACCTACAGTGTGGGTCACATATAAAACACCTACAGTGTGGGTCACATATAAAACACCTACAGTGTGGGTCACATATAAAACACCTACAGTGTGGGTCACATATAAAACACCTACAGTGTGGGTCACATATAAAACACCTACAGTGTGGGTCACATATAAAACACCTACAGTGTGGGTCACATATAAAACACCTACAGTGTGGGTCACATATAAAACACCTACAGTGTGGGTCACATATAAAACACCTACAGTGTGGGTCACATATAAAACACCTACAGTGTGGGTCACATATAAAACACCTACAGTGTGGGTCACATATAAAACACCTACAGTGTGGGTCACATATAAAANGGGGGGGGGGGGGGGGGCATTTCAGATCTTTCGATGGGGGGGGGGGTGGAGCTATGCCAGTGGCCATATGCGTAACTGAGTTTGGGCAAAAGTGATAGATGTCCCCCGGGCGCCATACTAGTGGGGCGCCAAAAATGAGTTTTAGTAGTATTAAATGGATAAAAATAATATGTTTCAGAGCAGAGGTGGGAGCGTAAAAATGAATACCGCCCCCTGGTGCTCAACTATTTAGCCACACCTCTGCGTAGAAAAGGTGGGAGCGAATTGAGTGTCCCGCCTAGCAGTTTGGATGAATGCGGAGTTGGAAACGTGAAAGGGGATGCGAAAGTAGGGTATTTCAAAATTTATGGTAAGTGGAGTCACCTCCAACGAAAAATGTATTTATTTTTTCAAATCAAGAAGTTGATTTTCAAGTATACCTGAATTCATTGATTCTACTTGAATTCGGTGTCTCTTTCATACAAGTTTTATTGGTCATTTCAGACTTTCAGGTAGGAAGCGACAAAACTAGCCATAATAATGATAAAGGACATCTCTAACTCTGCCCCAGCCCAAAATGAACTAAATTTATTCAATTTGTGGCCCCCCCGATGGTATGCTTTTTACCCTAGGTTTTCTTGTGCCTTAAATCTTTATAGAACCCCCCCCCCCCCCAAAAAAAAAAAATGTTGATGAATTCAAAATGCAAGGCTGCATTTAGAATATACCCGAATTTAGTTTTGCAACATTCTACATTTATTTGGAGAGCAACTGAAGAGATGCTTGTTTAAAATGTAGGTGTCAGCTAACTTCAGAGCGATCGTGTTGGCCACGCAACCCCAGCGGCTGCAAGGAACCTCGGTTATTTTAAAGCGCTTTTTAATGAATTAAATTATTAACTTTGAATGCGAAATGGGGGAGGACAAAACAGGAGGTTCTCGAAAAGTCAAGCGATGGCTCAGCTGGACATGTTTGCTTGATACATGTTTTCTTTAGACATTACTAAATAGTAACGTGGCTTTTAAGTTTTATTTCATCTATTTTGGGGTAAACTGCTTAAATAATTAATCAACTGTCAACAAAAGTTTTTTTTTGTTTTTTTTAAACATGCCTCCCAAAAAAAAAACAAAAAAAAAAGTTTTCCATCACAAAAAGCACTGCTAGTGTCATTTTACATGGTGAATAATTATGTTAAGAAGACATGAGATGTTTTTCTAATGACATCATTTATTTATTAATGTCTGATTTATCTAAAGGAAATTGTATTAAAAAAATAAAGTATAAAGTTGCAAAATTCAGCTGACTATGATTATTATTTGGAATTTCAAACTGCTATAACTTTCTGCAGATAAATTACACATTTCCGCTTTAATATACCTAAACTTAAACACTTTTTTTTTTAAAACCAAATCCTTAGAAATTATTTTTTAAATCGAAGATTTGAGGAAGAAGAATTATTTGTGAAATAAGGACCAAAAATGGATTCGGCATAAAAATCGAAATGCTATCCCAAATAAATGTGTTAAAACTTTCTACTGGATTCTTATTTAGAGAATCTTTTTTTTTTAAAGTGTGCAAATAGGTATTGAATATTGCATATTATTGTGATATGAAATATAGAAAATCATTTGGGAATCTAATTAATATTGGCAAAGTATTTGTAACCCTGCTATTCAGGAAACTTTGTTACAAAAGTGGCACACTTCAAGAAAACAGAAACACACGCGATCATTCTTAATTTTGGTTTTAAAAAATCATTTTTTTTATAAGTTTTAATTCTTTTTCTAGCTCAACGTAGTCGAGTACCATATAAAATTTATGTTAATAATAACCTTTTTTAAGCATGAGGCCATCTTAAAATGTATAATGAACAACTATCCCTAATTTAAAAGTCCTGCCTTTCCAATGAAATCTCATTTTGAAAACGAATCGCAAATGTTTGATGTTTATCAAGAACTGTTTTAAAACTGTAGACCTTGATATTGATCATGGGCGCCCACGGGCATTTTCGCAGGGTGGTCAACAAATTTCGGACATTCTTTCTTCATAGTACAAACATGTAAATGAGTGCTAAAGAGTGTAGCCCTATGTATTAATAGTAGCCTACTTTTAAATTATTTCTTAACATAAATTAGAAAACTTATAATATAAACTTATGCTTATAGACACACATTTCTTGATATTCTTTAATTGCAGTATTTTAAAAGGAATTGAAGTCTGCATTTATACTTTCAAAATATTTAAATTTCTCTCTACATAAAATCTTCCTTATTTCTGTTCACACCTAAATGATGCACATCTAGCACAAAACCCTGCAAGACGTTTGTCAGTCGTTGTCGGATGAGGTGCCAAGTTTTGACTCGTCTTAGGGTACTAAATGAACGCTTCACTGTGAATGCTGTTGTTGATAAAGTAAGAGCAATAAGAACAGCTCGGTGAATGGACGGTAAAACGCCTGTGCTTGACCAGCTATTCAATGAGCGGCGAGTCATTTATAATATCGTTCGATTGTTGCTGCAAGCTCCAAATTTCAAACCACTTCATTGCTCGAAGTTGCCAAGTGATATTAACGCTTTTCTGAAACTCGACACACTTTAAACGTGTCATGATAGCAGGCTGAAGTCTGAATAGCTGGAACCGGGGACTGTCGTCTCCACAAACACTGTTGGTCAGAGACATCATAGAATCAGAGTAGGGAACAAATATTGTTTGTCTAAAGTAGTCCTCTTCAGAGTTGGGATTTTCACTCTTGTCATTTGAGTATTAAGATTGCTGTAATATGCTTGTCCTACACAGATACGAGAGTTCTTCATCTCAATGTTAACTAAAGCTGCAAGGGCCAAGAATGTTTCATAAATATTTTTCTTAAACTCAGTTTCAATACTCTGACTATATTCACGGAAAATGTCCATTAATTTACAAATATGTTTATGTACACTTACCGAAGTCAGCCCTATGGCTTGTAGGGATTGAGTTACTCTTTCCTTTACCGCTGAGTATGTAGAGATAATCACAATACATGTGAGAAATGTAAGCGAAAAACATGAATACAATAACTGGTAAGAGGTGAAGAACATGAACGCAATAACTGGTAAGAGGTGAAGAACATGAACACAATAACTGGTAAGAGGTGAAGAGCATGAGTAAAATAGCTGGTAGGCATGCTGTCGCGTTTACCCGTGTCATTAGTTGCCAGATTGTGCAACTGATCGCATATCACCTCGAAATTCTCACTGAAATTGCGAATGCTTTTATATTTTGCGGACCATCGATTTTCACAGAACAACGAAACGTTAGGTAGTACGACCTTCACTTGATGCTTTCTCGAAAAAACTTCTGATAGTTTTGATTGTACCAACAGCATAACGCACTTGAACTACTGAATTCAAATCATTAACCACCACATTGAGCTGATTTGGAGAGCCAGGATAAAAAGCTGCGTTTCAAAAAAAATGTTGCATATTTCAGTATGGACCTAGTCTTCCTTTCCTGACATTGTGGAACAGCAGTCCTATCCATGTCCAAGTAATTTTGTCATGTCCTGACTACATTGATTGCAGTGATTCACAAAAAAAATGTACATCTACAAATTCAGATGGTGTCACTTGCTTTAGTGGCTGTAATGCGATAAATTCTTCACGAATTTTAAATGCACTCTCCACGTTGTTTGCAAAACCTACCGTCAACGACCATTGTTCTGCTACTAATATATGAGCTGTTTCTCTATGCACGTATGCCGAAAACAACGTCCTTCGCCAGGTCTGTCCTTAATGAAATTGTAACCAGCTATTGGTCGGTACGGGTTTGTGAGTAAGCGGTATTTTAAAACATCTGACAGTAGAGATGTTGACACATCTGACAGTAGAGATGTTGACACATCTGACAGTAGAGATGTTGACTGAATACATCGACCCGAACCAAAATCATCGTTGGCCATAACGCAGTGAAAATTTTCATGTGATGATTTTTCAGTGTCAAATCTTAGTGATATACGATGGTAATGAATCGCAGCTCTGAGAACCGCTGGCAGCAGCTTCAAACTCCTGCGAGTGCGACATTGCCAGGTCACTACATTTAGTTTGTTCTTCAACTTGTTGGTCCTCTCTTGTCAGTGTCGTTGATGTGTTACAATCTGTCTTGCATTCACCATCTTTTGTAATTTAACCGGCTTCTCAGCCCACACGACACTTAATGCTTGCTACTGCTGACGTGCAGTTCTGTCCTTGTTATCCATATTAATTTTACTGGGATTCATAAATCTGCCTATACCTAGGTTTACCTTTGACTACGACTAGTACCACTGCGTCTATCCCTTCCGAATGTCCGTATACCACTTCAGAATGACCATTTATCACTTCAGAATGACCGTCTATCACTTCAGAATGACCGTCTATCACTTCAGAATGACCGTCCACGAATCTCTAACTCTACCAATCATATCTCTAAAAACGTTTCCGTCATTTTCCATTGTGTGACTATAAACTCTACTAGATACCCGTCTCACGGTCATTGAATTGAACCTCATGAAAGACAAAATTCTCCCTATCAGATCCTTTACCCCCGGACGCCTAGCCCATGCCTGTACCCCCTTTTTTAGTAAGTATCACGCTAGGATTTGTTTTTTTTTCGATCAGTGATAATTAATCTAACGCCAACCCTGGTCTTCATGCGCATTCCACTTACTACAAAACTCATTGCTCGAATTTTTTTCGATATACCTGTTCCCACGCTGTCCACCTGGTGTCTCCCTGCCTCTCAAGCTATCATGTCTTCATTGTACTACCATAGACTCTGCCGATGTTGGGTTAACTACTCCCTAATCTGTTGTACTTTAGTACGCTACCTACGCCCATCGTTTACCTTCTCAATCCTGCTCATTTGTGACATTTACAAAGAAATACTATGTATTTGTTTATAAACTATTGTATATTCATTGGCACGAATTGCAAATATAAATATTTTTATATTATTTAATTATTTTCTTTGGGGGGGGGGGTGTCCATGTGACCCACATTGACCCATAGTATGGGCGCCCATGATTTTGATATAAAGGTTGTTTAATACTGTGTTTTTAAAGTTCCTAAATTTGACAATTTATAAACTATTGTATATTCATTGGCACGAATTGCAAATATAAATATTTTTATATTATTTAATTATTTTCTTTGGGGGGGGGGGGTGTCCATGTGACCCACATTGACCCATAGTATGGGCGCCCATGATTTTGATATAAAGGTTGTTTAATACTGTGTTTTTAAAGTTCCTAAATTTGACAATTTGCAAAAATATGTATAGTCTATATATATATACTTTTTTTTAAAAAAATACTGTTATATGCGAACAACATGAAATTAGACTTCATTTCGGCTCTTAATCGGATAATTTTCCAAACAGTACGATACTTATAATCGATTAGAGTACGCCTTTTATAAAAGATTAGCCTTAAATATACGGATCCTCAACTATATCAAGCGTATCGATATTTCATAGAGTCCACTAATTGTAATCAAAGAATGGCACCAGCTACTATACTTATTAAAACAGTTTTGAAATGACAATTTTGTAGTTTCTTCAACAAATATATATTTCGTACACATTTTGCAACGGGCAGGCACGTGACTCTCCCGGGGGTCAGTTCCCACCCATCCCCAGAGAAATGCTTGAAAGAAACACTGATTACATGGGCTCTTAAATATACTGAGCTGGGGTTTTTTTGGAGAGAGGGGCGGGGGGGCCTCAGAATCCGAACGCCCTAGAACTCGAACACCTTGGAATCTAGCAAATTTTCACTCGAAATCCGAAAACTGTTTCTGGAATCCGAATGCCCAGCACGTTATTCTCTTATTGGTTTTTGTGTGTACATTGTCCGGCGCCGGGGGGCCTCCGATCAAACGCTTTGTCGTTGCTTTCGTTGTCGGAGGCTGTAGCGAAAGCATCTCGTGCGATGTCGGAGGCTGTAGCGAAGGCATCTCGTGCGATGTCGGAGGCTGTAGCGAAAGCATCTCGTGCGATGTCGGAGGCTGTAGCGAAAGCATCTCGTGCGATGTCGGAGGCTGTAGCGAAAGCATCTCGTGCGATGTCGGAGGCTGTAGCGAAAGCATCTCGTGCGATGTCGGAGGCTGTAGCGAAAGCATCTCGTGCGATGTCGGAGGCTGTAGCGAAAGCATCTCGTGCGATGTCGGAGGCTGTAGCGAAAGCATCTCGTGCGATGTCGGAGGCTGTAGCGAAAGCATCTCGTGCGATGTCGGAGGCTGTAGCGAAAGCATCTCGTGCGATGTCGGAGGCTGTAGCGAAAGCATCTCGTGCGATGTCGGAGGCTGTAGCGAAAGCATCTCGTGCGATGTCGGAGGCTGTAGCGAAAGCATCTCGTGCGATGTCGGAGGCTGTAGCGAAAGCATCTCGTGCGATGTCGGAGGCTGTAGCGAAAGCATCTCGTGCGATGTCGGAGGCTGTAGCGANCCCCCCCCCCCCAACAACCTTTTTTTATTTTTGTTTTTTATTATTTTTTTATTTATTTTATTATTATTTATTTTTTTTTGGGGGGGGGGGATTTTTAATAAAAGAAAACGGTATTGCATTCACCATGGGTCCGCTAAGAAGTATAATGAGGGAAAATAAGAGTAAGGGGAAAGTTCTTAGAGCTACAATTAAAGTTAAGAAAGAAAGATCTTTTCGCTGAGCGGGAAACCAGTCCACGCACGGCTGATCTCTCTACCCTGCTCGAAACGCCTGACTCGAGGGTCCGCGGGATTTTTATTATTATTATTTTTTTTTCAATCTAAAGAAGCTATCAAATCAGCTGATGTGGCGAAAGGGTTGACGGCACTGACCTCTGGGAGATTTTAACGTATGGAAGAGATCGGAAAAATTAATGAAAAACGGCTGGCTGTCGATGTGATGTCTGAGACGATACTTTCTTAGGAATCCGATGGTCCTGCGCAGTGATTTAATCAAAGGCGTGCTACTGCTAGTGCTGGTACCAGTGCCAGTGCTAGTGCTAATGCTAGTGCTACTGCTAGTGCTGGTGCCAGTGCCAGTGCTAGTGCTAATGCTAGTGCTACTGCTAGTGCTGGTACCAGTGCCAGTGCTAGTGCTAATGCTAGTGCTACTGCTAGTGCTGGTGCCAGTGCTAGTGCTAATGCTAGTGCTACTGCTAGTGCTGGTGCCAGTGCCAGTGCTAGTGCTAATGCTAGTGCTAGTGCTAGTGCTGGTGCCAGTGCCAGTGCTAATGCTAGTGCTACTGCTAGTGCTGGTGCCAGTGCCAGTGCTAGTGCTAATGCTAGTGCTACTGCTAGTGCTGGTGCCAGTGCTAGTGCTAATGCTAGTGCTACTGCTAGTGCTGGTGCCAGTGCCAGTGCTAGTGCTAATGCTAGTGCTACTGCTAGTGCTGGTACCAGTGCCAGTGCTAATGCTAGTGCTACTGCTAGTGCTGGTACCAGTGCCAGTGATAGTGCTACTGCTAGTGCTGGTGCCAGTGCCAGTGCTAATGCTAATGCTAGTGCTAGTGCCAGTGCTAGTGCTCAAAAGGAGAAGTTGGAGACCAGTAGGGGTTTGTTTGAGAACTAGAAGAAGAGGGCAGATATCCGTAGAGTTTCTATTATTTAAAAAGAAACAAAAACAACTTTGAACTGAACGGGTTCTGGAACGAATTACTTTCGGATTCCGAGGCCCCCACTGTTAGGATTTTTTGAAATATTGTCGGATGATAACACTGAATGGTGAAACTGACCATTGTCATGTCATTAAAGTTATCATTGGCAAGTAACTAAAGCTGTCACCGGCGAGTAAGTAACGCTATCATCGGCGAGTAACTAAAGCTATCACTTGCGAGTAGTTAAAGCTGTCATTTGGGGAGTAATTAAGGCTATTTTTGGCATTTTATTATTGACATCAGCGAAAATTTTACTCGTTGTTGGAACTAAATAATTTTAGGATCTTATCCTAACTGCTGCAAATCAATTTCATGATTTCTTTCAAATTGAAACTAATCGATATCAATAACTCATGCAAAGTTGTGCTGATCGATTTCATGAGAAGATCCGTCTTGGTTGTCCTCAACTGCAGCATCCAATCGCTTACCCAGGACTATTCATGGGCAACTACTCACCACTGTTGTGGTTGCTTCTTGTATAGGCAACTCCGTGGCGTGAGACTGTCTCTGCGACTGAGGCTGGTGTGGGCTGGGATGCTGGAAGACGTAGATGATGTGGGTCTGAGGGTTCTGGTACGGGCTGGTGACGGCCTCTTGTATGCTGTACCCCGGCGGGGGCTCGTAACCGCCCACCACCTGCTGGGGCGGCGAGTTGTAGCTGTACCCCAGCTGCATGCTGTTGGCGCCGTGGAGCTGTCCGGGTGTCGGCTGGCCGCCGTAGCCAGGGGGCGGCTGATTGCCGTAGACATTGGGTGACTGGTTGCCGTAGTTTTGCGGTGGCGGTGGTTGGTACCCCGGTGGGATGTACTGGGCATAGGGGTTGGGTCCTGAAAGTATTTTATGTAGGGATTTTACATAAAAATATTAGTTTTAAAAACCACAAAGTTTGTCCTTTTTTTTCAGTTACCCACCTGTGGCATGAATTGTGTAGGGAGCTATTTACTTCCATGACAATCTTCAACGTACCAAAGAACTCATGTTATCTACATTTCATAACGTATTTTTTGCAATGTCATAGAATGAAAAGAGCGGAGAAACAGATAAAAAGCTACGATTCGTTTAAGACATTTGACAGTGTGAAAGTGGAAGGGCTGGTCAAATCCGGACAGTAAAAGTATTTTTACATCATTTTAAAGAACACGCGAAATCAATGGATCCATTTATTTTTGTCTTGATGTATCAACGTGCATGAAATTTTGTTATCGTGATCCTCTCTAACCCCACACCCCACTCCCCCGCGCCCACACACGCACACATACTTTTATTCACTCTAGCCGTTTCTTCGGCAAGATATCAGAGAGACCCAAAAAAAAACAGTTTTTCTTGTTGGAAATGACGATTGACAAGCTGTTTTTTTTTTAAATTTATTTTGTATTTACTATTTGTGTTGTTGAGAATCACCCAAGTGTCAGGAGCGGGTATCCCACAATTGGTCCACTAATAAATTACGTTTGTCATTTTATACATCCTACCTTCATAACCCAGCGCGCTGGTATTGGCGTCTCCACTCTGAGCAGCTCCATTGTTTACTGTTGGTGCGGGACCCTGTGTTTGGGGAGTTGGCACTTCACACCCCCGAATGCCTTGGTCTTCCCGTGGCAGATCCTCCTTTGGCATGCCGCCTTCCGCTTTTCTATCTTCTTCAATCGTCGGCTGCCGGGGGGTCGCTTTGGGGGATGATTCCCACGCTTGGCCTTGACCCCGTTGCTCCCCCTGCTGCTCCGTCTGCTCCACCCTACAGACCGTGGCCTCTTCTTTGGTCGGGACGGCGCAGATTTTGTTCGTGTGGCGTTTCCTGCACTGACAGGCATCGACGTCAACATAGCGGCCATCGTGGATCTTCTTCTTTGGCCGGATGAACGACAGCAGGGGCAGCATTACGGCTAGCAGGACTCAAACCTACATAGAAATAATGGTGTGTTATTTGGTTTTGTTTTTAAATTCCTTAACAGTAGGGCTGTGTTGTCTCTAAGCTGTGCTACCGTGCAATGGAGTGACACCGAGTCTACACAAGTGTTATTTTCCTGCATCCAAAAGACTATTTTTAACTTATTAATGATAATCAAAGTTTAGACGGTAAGCGGAGTTGATATGAAGCATACAATATGGAAAATTTAAATTATTCGAACGCCAGCTTTTTTTAATGTATTGTTTATTTTAGAACCACTGACCTTAAGAGACTATCATTTTAAAAATATTAAAAAGTAACAGCGTATTGATTTAAGAGAGCTCGTTTAATTACTCTTGTACAATTCATCTGCTCAAAGGCTACAAAAATAATTGATAAATGATAACCAGCTTCTGTCTAGAAGCTTCGAATTGAAAAGTTAGGTTGGTGACACAGGTTGTAAAAATAAGTTTACATAGGTAGCTGGCAAAAATTGTTAGGGAGATTTTCTGAATTAGTTCTCCTGAAAGAAGGTCGCTTCATGAAACAACAGCATCTGTTGCGGCACATGGTCAGGACATTCGGGGCCATCGCACCCTAGCATTGGAAGTCCTGCGTTGAGAAACAGATTTTGCCTTACCAGCCTACCGTAGGAAGCGTGGGGGTTCCCTTAGAAATAAATGCGATGCTCCCTGGGCGACGAACAGCTTTAATTTTAAGTTAAAACATGAAAAATATGGAGGGAAAAAAAAGGATTTTATTGAGCACCGAGCTAAACACAAAGAAACAGGTTTAATCAGACACAGCCTTAAGACAGTAGAGAAATGCCTACCCGGAAAATTTTTTAAAGGTAAATGTGTTCCTCCTACCACTGTAAGTGTAAGACCTGGGGAAGAGCTGTACGAAGCCAAAGCCTCAAATTAGAAAATACAATGGCATGATGAAGCAGCACTGTTGACATCTACTGTGTTCCGTTCACTACACGTGCTTCGTGGTGCTTCTGAACATTTCTGCGTTCAGCTTACGTTGTGAGCTTGAATCTCATCCAGGTTTTTTTTTATTACTATTGTTTAATATCATGGTTGTTCGTGTGCAATAAATTGAGTTGGTTTGTTTTTTTTTAAATCGCGTTTACAGACTTTCGAGCCCAATACTTTTCCTCTCCTTACTTTAACTCATAGATAACTCACACACGGCCGGACAAAGGCTTTATAGCAGGTGTCTTAAAGTCGCGGCCCACCTCTGCACCTGCCTACTGTTTGAACACGTTTTAACATTGAAAGCCTTCATGGAGAAGGGTGTGATGGTTGTTCCTGTACTAATAAGACGTAGTGATCCCAAATGTCTCACGGACTTGGCTTTTCTTGTTGACATTACACAGGAGCTGAATGTACTCAGCAAGAATTTACGAGACCAGGGGTAGCTTGTCAACATTGCCAGTGACAATGTTAGGGCATTGTGCACAAAACTTGTGATATGATTCTTAGAGAAACCTCTGCCATTTTCCAACATGCAAAGTACTCATGGACTCGGGCACACCCTTCAGTAGTAAGCATACTGATGCCATTGCAAAGCTATACAGGAAGAATTTGATCACATGTTTTTAGACTTCAAAACAGACAGAGCGACTTTACCCACTTTTTGCTGACCCTTTCTCCTTTAATGTAGAAGATGCAACCTCCCCCCCCCCTTTTGTTTCTACTTGCGCTTCAAATGGAGCTAACTGATCTTCAGTGCAATTCTAAGTTCAGGGCGGTGAATGTAAAACAGATAAGCATGGATAATTTATGAGAACATTGCCCTTCACCTTCCCTGAGATTTCCAGGTTGTTCAAGCAGATCATGTCCCTTTTGTACATATCTGTGTGAAAAGCTCTTTTCAACTATGAACTTTAAAAAGTCATAGTTTAGGGCCAAACTTACTGATGAGCATCTTCAAGCTATACTGGGGGGTCTCAGTTGATTCACATCTGTTTTCAAACATAATACCTTGATACTTGAATTAATTGCATTCAATTTTTTCCTATCTTTTTTTTTTTTTCCTTTTAATTTTTTAGAGAGAAAAGCTGTCATACTCATGATTTTCAACAATAAACGCATGCCCGGCTATCTTCAAAGAAAAACTGTGAGTTTGGCTTGTGATTAGTTGCATTATATTTAATTCACATAATCAGATGGTCGTCCAACCTATTTTGACATAAGATATAGGGCCATTTATCATACTTAATGCACCGACAGTTTTTCTAGAAAATTTGAAGTTGCTTTTTATATAATTGATTTTATTTACGGTGTAATTACAAAAATGTTCGATTTAACCCCAACTAAAAACTGCGCGTATGCCATGTTGTTAATTTGGCAGTTATACAGTATGTAATCTTATGACCTACGAAGCGAACATTGGAGTAGCTAGACCTAACAGAGTACATTAGTACATACTTCAATTTATTTCCAGTCGTCTTTTTCGATATAATACAACTAATATACAGAGTTGTCCTGTACAGTAGCCTAGTTGCATACCGCCACTTAAACATAACAAACTTAATAAATATAAATTTTTACTGCATTAAACTTTAATTTAAAAAATTAACCATGCAAAATTTTATTATTATAATAACCGACCGAAAGATGATTGTCCGTCTAAATTCTAATAAAATAAAATTACAACACGAATTCTCTCCCTGTTTGACCCATTAAAAATAACTAAAAAAAACTGAGAAGAACACGGAAGACGATCAGTATAGTATGACCATGACATGAGCGATAAGTATTAAATTTACTGTGCCTCGTTTGAGAAATAGCTCAAAACATATGTGACCTACTTAGAATTAATGTCTCTGGTAAACAAAGATTGATTTCTTTCTATAAATAGTAGATATTTCGATCTGGATTTGTTATAAGAGTACTTTTTGAAACTGTTGGTGGTGTGCAAAAAAGTTGGGGAAAAAAAGTATGCTGCATAATACTAATACAGTTTGAGATCGTGATTGCTTTCCTTTCGCCCTTTTCGCAGTCATTCATAATGCTGTTAGTGTTCGGTCACTACTCACAGTCACAGTCATCACAGTCACAGTGTTCTTCGAACAAGGAATCATTTTTTAAAGTCAATTTAATGTAGTGGACGAGTTTTAATGGAAAAATCAACAAGGATCTCTAAATTCAAAGGAAAAATGAGGACTAATAAATTTTTGTCGTTTGTGGTAGGTAGCCGATATTCAATTTTACAATGGTTAAAGTTAAGGTTAAATTATAAAAAGTTTGTGTAAGTTACTGTAAGTGTAACCAATTTTTTAAATATAAATTTAAATGCTTATACTTAACTTAACCCTCTTGGGACGGAGCCTTTTCAGGGTGTTCAGGGTGTATGTGCCAAAAAGACGGAGCACTTTTTTTTTTTAATAAACTATTTGTGGTTATTGGTAGTACCAATAGTTTCTACTTCTTGGGAGCTATTTGTAGTTAACTACCAATGCGTAGCTTCTAAGCGGCTAGTGGTAGTTTACTATTAAAAAAACTACTAATTGATGATCGATAGATTAATGTAGTGCAATAATTATTGGTAGTCACACTTTATTTTGATTACAACACTGAAACTGAAATCACTGTAATCACTTTAAAGTTAGTAAAACACAATACACATGTGCAAAGGCCAAACAAATTTATTGTTTGTCACTTGTGTCTAGTCTAGTCTCATAAATTCACTCCAATCGGATTTTTGAGACACAATGCACTTATTTTTCTTTCTTTGTACATATTTTATTTTATTTATGTATCACTGCTTATGACAACTTATGTTTTCATCATTTGTCCAGTTTAAAATATTGATTCTGCATACTCTGCATAGCATAAAAAAATAAAAAGTCAATAGTGATTCCTAGACATTAAATTGATTAATTCGTGTTATTTATAGGCAGTGGCGGAGCGAGGGGGTTTGGCGCCCGGGGACAAGATTCGTGCCCGGGGACAAGATCCATTTTTAGCGCCCCTTTTTCTTTTTTTCAACTCTCAAACCCATTATTTTAATCAATAAAATAATATCAAAGCACATTTTGGCGCCCCTAACTAGCTGGCGCCCGGGGACATCTGCCCCCCTGCCCCCACCACGCTACGCCTCTGCCCAGCACCCGAAGGGCCATGGGTGCTGAGTTGTCGTTCTCTTACATTGTCAAAAGAGTTGGTCAGTGAGACAAGATGTGGTCAAATATTCATATGCCTTGAACTTGCTTGAACGCAGTCTATTGACAGATTCGGCATAGTTGAAGATATTTTTTTTTCGGACAAAATAATAGAAAAGAAATTACCGTATTCTCTTTCGAGCATGTCAGAAGGAACTGCCATAAACGTATGTATGAAAGTAAAAAAAAAACATATTCTTTTACAAAATAATTAAACTCTAGAATGTTCAGGTCTCTGAGTAATAAAAATTGATTTTTTATAAAGTAACCACGATTTCATATCGATTTTGTTCGAATGTAATCAACTGCTTTACGTTATTTAGATAATTCCATTTCAAAACATGGTAGTTTAACAAACTGGGTAGTTCAACAAACATGGTAGTTCAACAAACGAAAGTAGCCCCGCATGGAAAAATGGGCGACGGAGAGTTTGAAAGAAATCAATTCTACAACTCGTCACAACTTGATAAAACAATACAAAATTTCTGAGGTCATTAAAAACACGGTCCAGCAATAAATCACAGCCTGGTGTTGAAGAGTTGGCCTTTGATGTCTGGAGAGTCCTGTTGGACAAACACTAGAACAAATTACCCGTCTGTGGGCTCGGGTGGGATGCGGGACACGGTTGAACCACACACCGCTGAGAAGGATCACAATTAAAAGAACATCTCATCAAATAAGGTCGTAAAAAAAATAATAAAAAAACACAACGTGGTCCCTTATGGGGTTACCGGAAGTGAAGATTGGCAAATAACTTTTGGTCTGATCCGACGTTAAAATAAATTGCGCTGTTATTTTTTCTTTCATTAAAAAAAAAAAATATGAATAGAGCTACGCGGGATGACTACGATACAAACGTTTAAAATATTAGGATTAATAGTTATTAATAACATTTTATTGACTGTTTTGGCATATCTTTGATATTTCTATAAATAAATTGATGTACCCGATTGGATAGCTCTGCAATGCGATTAGACACAATTGGTGTCTTATTATACTAGACACAAACATTCCTTGTTGCCCTCTCGGATTCTACATTTCAGCTAAGTGTTATTTTAAAAACATGAATTGTGCTTTTTCTGTTGTTCGTTCGCAGATGAAGGCTTAACTTGATGATACTTTCTTTGTTTCGTTGCGTTTTTTTTTCATTCAGGTTTTCCCATATACTTTGTTTCGCTCATTTCCTTGTATGCTAACCTGATCGCAGTCTCTCCCCCTTATTGCCATAGACACAGTTTGATCCGACAAGGGGTATGATATGTATTACTAATACGACTGACTATATACGATCATTGGAATGACTCTTGAGTATCTTGTCGCACGACTGTTCATACATTGACAACACAAAGATCAACACGCCGTCTCGTTGCATATGTCTATTTTAGTGTTGGTGATGTAATGTCAGAGTCGAATAATTATGTGGAGTCAATGACAGAAAGAAAATATCTCAAAGGAGTAACGAGACATGAAACATGCTCGTGGGGAAAAAAAATATCGAGCCGCTATAGGGGACGTCCATAAAGTATGTCACGATATTTTTTACCATTTTTACCCCCCCCCCCCTCCCCTGTCACAAATCTCTGAAACCCAACCCAAGTACGTCACAATTTCGAACAATTATAGGGGACGTCCATAAAGTATGTCACGATATTTTTTACCATTTTTACCCCCCCCCCCTCCCCTGTCACAAATCTCTGAAACCCAACCCAAGTACGTCACAATTTCGAACAATTTAAAAAAAAATTAACACGTAATTAAAATTTAATATAAAACACA